CCCTAGTAGTCCCCTTAGGGCAACCCTCTGTACTCCAGCCTCTGAAGCTCCCCGATTTTAAATCCCCCTGGAGCTGGACACCTGGCCATACGTTCTGGGGGGCTGGGAGCTCTGCCGGGCCAGGACCAGACTATTTCTTCCGTCTTTTCTTCCAAAACTCCTGGCGTGATCTTGGCTCACTGCAACCTCCACCTCCTGGGTTCAAGTGGTTCTCCTGCCTCAGCCTCCCAAGTAGCTGGGACTATAGGCGCACACCACCACGCCCAGCTAATTTTATATTTTTAGTAGAGACGGGGTTTCACCATGTTGGTCAGGCTGGTTTTGAATTCCTGACCTCAGGTGATCCGCCTACCTCGGCCTCCCAAAGCGCTGGGATTACAGGCGTGAGCCACTGCGCCTGGCTGTCAGTAATGATTTTTAAGGGGTTTGTGTTTTACCCATCACTCACTTCAAGCAGCAAGCGACCAATGTTAGTGATTGAGGCTGCGGGCTGGAAACCAAAGGCCTTCTGACCTGATGGCCTCAGGCTGATGGGGTAGGGTTAGATGGGCAACCTCTCAGGTTAGCGACTGGGCCTGCCGCCCTCCCTCGAACCTGTCTGAGATGCCCACTGGACATCCTAGCTTCTGAGGCCGCCAAGGCACTTTTGAGCTGTCTTGTAGAGGAGCTGCAGCACAGCTGCCCCTTAGCCCCAGGGCTGGCCAGGGCAAGGGGCTCTGCTGAGACAGAGGTTGCCAAGGAGAGTGGCCCTCTTTACCTCTGGTATGGGAGCAAAAGCTGGCAGTTGGCTTGAGGCTGCTTTCTGGAAGCTTCTCTGCCAGCTCTCTGCCCACAGACTTCAGATGTGCTCTGTAGTGGCTGGCAGCGGGTGATGATGACTCCCCATCCCTCATGGCACAGGCCCCTTTCCGGTCCATGCCGTTTCCTCTCCACCTCTCAAATGTGGGCTGGTCCCTGGGTAGCTTCACTGCTGGGGCAGGCTCAGCAATTCCAACTCAGTGAAACTCTGTCCCATTGAGGAGCCTTAGACAGGTTTTCCTTAAAACTGATGGGCTCAGCTGGTGGGGCTGGGGAGAGAGAAGGGGATGGCAGGTGAGGAGAGCAGTGCTGCTGCACAGGAAGTTGTAGTGTCTGGGCAGCCTTGGGCAAGTCCCTTGCCTTTTAGAGGCTCTAGTCCTTATCTGCTAGGGAGAGAGATCCCTCTCAGCCCTGCTGCCTCATCTGCAGGGGAGTTGTAGGGGTGAAAGAGGAATGGGTGGAAAGTGTTTCCAACTTTAGAGAAGGCCACACTCCTTCACACCTTCTTTGTTGCTGGGTCAGAGCCCTGACCCCAGGATTCTCTCCAGGGTCCCCAGGGTATGGCCAGGAGACCAGCATGGCTGAGACGGAGATGGGCTGACCTGACCATTACTCCCTAGCTCCCTGTCCCCAGACTCCTGGCAGCTGCCTCTTGATCCGCCAGCCCCCAGGCGAGCCAAACCTTGGGCTTTCTATTCAGTGAGCTTCTAGTGTCTGCACTGTGGGTGGGGAAGGGGCAAGGCATCCCTTGCTTTGAACAAACAGAATGAGTGGAAGCCTAGATCTTACCTAGCACAAAGTTGTTGATTCGTTCTATGAACAGTTGGGTTTTCCTGGGACTTACAGAGGTTAAAGGCTGGTTGGCCTGTTGCCTTCCTGGGCAGGGCATGAGGTGGGCTCCAAGCTGAGGCGACCTGTTCCTGAGCAACCTTGAACAGTGGCCAAGCAGCCTCGGAAGCACCCAGGTTGGAGATGATGCTGAGGAGAGCTGCCCAGGAGGCCTAGAGGCAGTGTGCTGCAGGCCGTCAGCACGGCAGGCCTGCTAAAGGAAAGGAAATCGGAAGTTTCACCGGAAACTCCTTTCTGGGAGTCGGCCGGCACCTTGGTAATCCAAGTTCAAACTCCCCAGTTTCTGCTAATTTCCTCCCCAGGAGGCTGAAATCTCACCTTCTCCTCATTTGAGGGGCTGTCACAGAAGATTCAAGCTGGAGGAGATTTGGGAGGTCTCTCTAGCCCATCCCCTTAGGCCCAGGGAGGGGAGAGGCCCCTGAGGGCAGGGAGCTGGTTTCAGTGGAGAAAACATTTGCTTAAGAGCTTGTTGTGTAAACAAGATTGCAGAGGGATAAGCCAGCAGAGCTGAGGGAACAAATTGTTTTAGGGACCGGGCAGACTGAAATGCCTATCTAGTCAGGAGGAAAGCCCTGCTCTTGGGAAACTGCTAACCTGCTGGGGCCTCCGTGGCGTTCCTGGGTCCCACTGGGCGGTGCCTCCCGGGCTATACATGGGCCCCAGTATGTGTGTCTTTCGTGTGGGCTTTGGTGGCCTCATCTGTTGAGTGGAGCATGGATCTAATGGCTCTGGCTTCTGCTCACTACAATGCAGTGGAGGCTTGTGGGGTCGAAGTGTCAATGCCTTGCTCTGTCCTTGCCCCATCTCGAGCTTTCTCTTCAGGGAGGCAGTGCAGCAGGAGAGGGCAGGGCAGAGTCCTTGGGTGAGAGTGAAGCCATGATTTCAGTATGGGTGGGGGTGTCCACTCTGTGCCCTCCCCCCGGTGGGCAGTATTCTTTGTTAGTGAAGGGGACAGGCTTGAGGGAGGCCAGGGCAGCTTCAGAGCTCTGTGGAGGCAGCACAGGTGTTTGAAGCACCACATAGAGATGGTATAGATCAGATGTGGCCTTGTGTGGAGGCAGGGGGAGCATGAACTATGACTGTTGGTTTTTATTGATTGCTTGAGACGGAGTCTTGCTGTGTCACCCAGGCTGGAGTGCAGTGGTGCAATCTTGGCTCACTGCAACCTCTGCCTCCCGGATTCCAGGGATTCTCCTGCCTCAGCCTCCCAAGTAGCTGGGACTATAGGCGTGCGCAACCATGCCTGGCTAATTTTTGTGTTTTTAGTAGAGATGGGGGTTTCACCATGTTGGCCAGGCTGGTCTCGAACTCCTGAGCTCAAGTGATCCTCCCACAGTGCTGGGATTACAGGCGTGAGCCACTGCACCAGCCAATGGCTGTTGATTGTAGATGGGCCATGGTGGACAGTGACTGTTCACTGTACGTGAGCCTTGGTGGAATGTGGCTGTTTACTGTAGATGGGCTATGGATGGCCCTTATAGGGTCAAAACCTTTCTCTTGGGGGAAGGAAGGTACAGTTTTGCTTTTGTCCTTTCAAAGGAAGTTCAGTGTTATTTCTGACCTTGTGGTTTCTACACGTGTCTGATGCTTTCCTCTAACCCAGGCCCCTGGATGTAGAGCCTCCACCTGGTCCGGCTCTGCCCCAGGGCTGCCTCAGGAGGCAGGAGGTGTCTGTCCCTCTCTGCTTTACATTCCCAGGAGTGAGACCCATGGGCCTATGGCCAGGGCCTGACAAGGCCTCTTGGGCTGAGGAGGCCCTTTCCCTTTGGAGCCCAGCCTCAGGTGGCTGACAAGTCAGTGCAGAGGCTTCTGGTGAACTGACTTCTTCCTGTCCCCCTCTTCTCATGAAACTTTATCTGCCTCCCTTTTACCCTCTTTCTAGACAGGCCTGCTGGCATTTGAGGCTCCCCTAGTTAGACAATGGTCACTGTTTGTGGGTGCCTACTGCGTGCCAGGCTGTGTTAGGCATAGCTTCATTGAATTTTGGCAGCAGTCCTGAAATGTAGATGTTATTATTTTCCCATTTTACAGATGGAGAGACTGAAGCCATAAGCGGTTTAATGATATCCCAGGACCACGCATCTAGTGAGCGGCAGGGTCCGGAGTTCCTAAAGCTAGTGCACTGGACTGTGCTGTTCTGCATATTTTTTCATTCTTTGTTCTGGTCCCAGACATTGGGGCCCTCTCAAGATAGACTGTGTAGTGAGTGGGGTCCTTGGGTCTGAGCCTTGAAGCTGAATAGGGCTCTCAAAGCCACACTTCTTGCCACCTGGCTGCTGGGTTCTCCATTCTTTACCTGAGGTCCTGGGGCCAGTGTGAAGGGCAAAGGCAATCCTGACTTTCTGCCCTCGCTGCCGACCAGGGTTCTGCACAGGCCTGCTGTGTGTGGTGTGATCCTGCCTCCCCACCCCCGCCCCCGGTCCTGCCCGTCAGCCCCGGCCCTAGGAACTGCAGAGATGTGTATATGTTTGCCCTCTGGCCCCTTTGCCTTTTGGAGCTGGGCAGGCGGGCAGCATTCCTGGGGCTGCTGTTTGCCAGCAGGACCCGTCCCAGGTCCACAGCCCACTTCCTGGAGCCTTCTCCGTGCAGGGCCCCTAACAGATTAGCCTTATATGTCCCCAGCCCGATGGGCACCCTGTCCTTCCTTCCCCAAGGAGGACGATACTCTGACCAGAGAGCCTGAACCCAGGCTTTACTGTAGATGGGAACTGGGCCGAGTGTGGGAAGGTGTGTCGGGGCCAGGCCTGGGGTTGCCCTGCGTGGGCAGACCTGCCTCAGAACAGACAGTTCCCTGTGCCCAGCGGTGCCCCTGCCCCTTGTGCCGCCCTCGGTGTCCACACCTGGGGGCCAGCATGCCTGGAGGCTGCCTCTGCATCCAGGTTGTCCTGAGATTGTTCTTGGGGGTTTTCGAAAGCCCCTCAGTGGGGCTGGGTCGGCAATCTTCGGCCCCAAAGCTCCCTGGCTGATGACCCCCAAGAGTAGGGTAGGGTGGGCTGATGGGGTCCCATGGGGGCCACAGCCTATATTCCCAATAGCAACTCCCTGTCTGCCCTTCTGAGAGGTCTGGAGCTCCCTCACCAGACTGAGCTTCTCAGGGTGAGGGCCCTGCCCACTCTCTTGTGCCCCTGTGCCCTGTGCCCGGCACCAGGCTGTGTTGTAGCATCAGGGGTTGGGGCAGGGGAACCAAAGTGCTGCCCAGAGCTGAGGGGCCTGAAGCCACATGAGAGGCGTCTCCCTGTGTTACCTGTGCAGCACAGGGTAGGGCGAGTCCACTCAGCTGTCTAGGAGAGGACCCAGGAGCAGCAGAGCCCCGGCCAAGCCTCTACTCATACCATATTCTGATCCTTTTCCAGCAAATTGTGGCTACTAATTTGCCCCCTGAAGATCAAGATGGCTCTGGGGATGACTCTGACAACTTCTCCGGCTCAGGTGCAGGTGAGGTTGTCATGGGGGCCCCCCACCCAAGATGGCAACAGGTCATGCCTGGGGGCAGTGGTCAGACAGTCTCCTGTGTTTATTGAGCATGTACTAAGTGCACCCTGCCCGCCCCATCTTCACCCAGCTGCCTCCAAAGGGCAATGCTGAGCAGAGGAATGGGGTCCATGAGCTGCCTGGTTAAGGAGAGCTCATGCTCGGAGGTGAGGTGAAGGCTGTGAGCTCCAGAGGGCCGCAGGGCTGCCTGCTGCACATAGGCTCATATTCACTGGGAATACCTTTACTCACTAGGAAACCTCTGGAACCCCCTTCAGAAGGTTATTTGACCCCTGAGCCTCTGTTTTCTCATCTGTAAAATGGGAATAATACCTTGACCTGATAAGCTTGTGGAGCCGTAAGGCAGCACAGAGCCTGCTGGGGTGTAGCTCTTCCATCCAAGCTCCCTTCCCTACTTCCCCTTTCCCTGGGGGAGAGAAGTCCCTGAGCTGGACGTGGTCAGGGAGGCTTCTCAGCGGAGGTGGCTCTTGAGTGGACCTCAGAAGAGGGGTGAGAGCTAAGGAAGGAGGCTGAGGTCATCCCTGGGAAAGTGACCCAGCAGAGGCCTGAGAGCTGCAAGGTAGGGTATCTGTAGTTGGAAGTATCTGTTGTTGGAAGCGGGGGCCTTCAGGGAGGGTGGGGCCGGAGAGATGTGTACCCTGGGATAGATAGGATAACTGAAGTAGTTATGCCCCTAAGAGATGCCCACCCCACACCTGTGGTCACAGGAAAGCTTTCCAAGGTGGCCTAGGCACCTGTCTCGTGGCTCCAGAGACCAGGCCGCCCCTGGACACACACAATGAGAAGGGACAGCTCTCCTTGTCCATTTTCCAAGGAGCTTAGCCTCAGCTGCCTTGCCCAGGTACTAGCCTCCCTCAGCCTGAGCTTGGCCGGCCCAGGTGCTCTGGGGCCTCCCCCGACCCACCCAGCACACTGGTTCAGGTCCTCCCCCTCAACCCAGCACGCTCTGCTTCTGATCCTCCCTCCCCACCCTCCCCAATACACTCTGCCTCTGGTTCTCCTCCCCCAGCACCCACCAACACACTCTGCTTCTGGTCCTCCCCCCACCCCCCACAACACACCCTGCTTCTGGTCCTGCCCCCACCCCCCACAACACACTCTGCTTCTGGTCCTCTCCCCCCCGCCCCCCCAACACACTCTGCTTCTGGTCCTCCCCCCACCCCCCACAACACACTCTGCTTCTGGTCCTCCCCCCTCCTCCCACAACACACTCTGCTTCTGGTCCTCCCGCCGCCCCCCACAACACACTCTGCTTCTGGTCCTCCCGCCGCCCCCCACAACACACTCTGCTTCTGGTCCTCCCCCCACCCCCCACAACACACTCTGCTTCTGGTCCTCCCCCCTCCTCCCACACACTCTGCTTCTGGTCCTCCCGCCGCCCCCCACAACACACTCTGCTTCTGGTCCTCCCGCCGCCCCCCACAACACACTCTGCTTCTGGTCCTGCAGGTGCTTTGCAAGATATCACCTTGTCACAGCAGACCCCCTCCACTTGGAAGGACACGTGGCTCCTGACGGCTACTCCCACGTCTCCGGAACCCACTGGCCTGGAGGCTACAGCTGCCTCCACCTCCACCCTGCCGGCTGGAGAGGGGCCCAAGGAGGGAGAGGCTGTAGTCCTGTTAAAAGTGGAGCCTGACCTCACTGCCCGGGAGCAGGAGGCCACCCCCCAACCCACGGAGACCACACAGCTCCCAACCACTCATCAGGCCCCAACGGCCAGAGCCACCACAGCCCAGGAGCCCGCCACCTCCCACCCCCACAGGGACATGCAGCCTGGCTACCATGAGACCTCAGCCCCTGCAGGACCCGGCCAAGCTGACCTTCACACTCCCCGCACAGAGGATGGAGGTCCTTCTGCCACCGAGAGGGCTGCTGAGGATGGAGCCTCCAGTCAGCTCCCAGCAGCAGAGGGCTCTGGGGAGCAGGTGAGTGGCCTCTGCATTCCTTGGGACATTGGGTGGGTTAGCCCTAATGCCTGGCACCCGGCACGCCCTACACCTGTGCCCTGCGGGTGTCTCGTATTCCTCACCAGGAGGACAGGACACAGGGACCCACCTTCCCCTACCCCCAGGGCCTCGCCCAGAGCAGGACAGACTAATTATGAGATCAGAGCAAAAGCGCCCTTAAAGATCACCCAAGAGAGGGCTCCCCAAACTTAGAATCCAAACTTGCAGCCCCTGCTGTAAGAGTGAACGTTATACCAAGTCCTCCTATTTTTTATCTTGCAGCTTCGTGGGATTTTTACACTTTACACTAAATAAGCCTGCTTGTTTCCATACAGAAATGTATGCTTTGTATCACTTTTTGTGATATCCATGCCATGGGCCAGCCAGGGTCCAGAGTTGATGTGACAAGAAGTCCTGGCTTTCGGGCCCCCTGCGATCCTGGTTTGGGTGCATCTGAGTGGGTGGTGGCAAAGATCAGGGAGGCAGGAGCTGCTTCTGGAGCTGGTTGCTGCTGCTGGCGGTGACCTAGCCAACCCAATCTGCCCCTGCCCTCCCATAGGACTTCACCTTTGAAACCTCTGGGGAGAACACAGCTATAGTGGCTGTGGAGCCTGACCACCGGAACCAGTCCCCAGTGGATCCGGGGGCCACAGGGGCCTCGCAGGGTCTCCTGGACAGGAAGGAGGTGCTGGGAGGTGAGTTTTCCCTCAGGGGGGTAGTTCGGGGTGAACTGCTGCTGTGGGGTCAGGGTGGGGCTGACCACAGCCAAGGCCACCACTTGGGGGAGGGTCTGCAGTGGAGCCCAGGGAGCCGCTGAACTGAGCTGGCCCCGTCTACCTGCCCTAGGGATCATTGCTGGAGGCCTCGTGGGGCTCATCTTTGCTGTGTGCCTGGTGGGTTTCATGCTGTACCGCATGAAGAAGAAGGACGAAGGCAGCTACTCCTTGGAGGAGCCGAAACAAGCCAACGGAGGGGCCTACCAGAAGCCCACCAAACAGGAGGAATTCTACGCCTGACGCGGGAGCCATGCACCCCCTCCGCCCTGCCACTCACTAGGCCCCCACTTGCCTCTTCCTTGAAGAACTGCAGGCCCTGGCCTCCCCTGCCACCAGGCCACCTCCCCAGCACTCCAGCCCCTCTGGCCGCTCCTGCCCACGGAGTCCTGGGGCATGCTGGGAGCTCCACTCTGCTTCTCTGACTTCTGCCTGGAGACTTGGGGCACCAGGGTTTTCTCGAATAGGACCTTTCCACCACAGCCAGCACCTGGCATCGCACCATTCTGACTCAGTTTCTCCAAACTGAAGTAGCCTCTCCCCAGGCCCAGCTCTGGAGGGGAGGGGGGATCTGACTGCTTTGGACCTAAGTGGCCTCATGTGGCTGGAAGATTCTGCGGGTGGGGCTTGGGGCTCACACATCTATAGCACTTACTGGTAGGACCAAGCATCTTGGGGGCGTGGCCGCTGAGTGGCAGGGGACAGGGGTCCACTTTGTTTTGTGGGGAGGTCTGATCTAGATATCGACTTGTTTTTGCACATGTTTCCTCTAGTTCTTTGTTCATAGCCCAGTAGACCTTGTTACTTCTGAGGTAAGTTAAGTAAGTTGATTCGGTATTCCCCATCTTGCTTCCCTAATCTATGGTCAGGAGACAGCATCAGGGTTAAGACCTTTTTTTTTTTTTTTTTTTTTAAACTAGGAGAACCAAATCTGGAAGCCAAAATGTAGGCTTAGTTTGTGTGTCGTCTCTGAGTTTGTCGCTCATGTGTGCAACAGGGTATGGACTATCTGTCTGGTGGCCCCGTTTCTGGTGGTCTGTTGGCGGGCTGGCCAGTCCAGGCTGCCGTGGGGCCGCCGCCTCTTTCAAGCAGTTGTGCCTGTGTCCATGAGCTCAGGGCTTTGCTGAGGCCTGGGCCACTGCCACATTGGAGAAGCCCATGTGAGAAGTGAATGCTGGCAGCTCAGCCTTCAGACTGAGAGAGGACTGTAGGGAGGGCGGCAGGGGCCTGGAGATCCTCCTGCAGACCAGGCCTGTCCCGCCTGTGGCGCAGTCTCTGGGAGCTGCTTCCTCCTGGAAATTGACAAGGGGCGGCATCCTCCTGGAAATTGACAAGGGGCGCATCCTCCTGGAAATTGACAAGGGGCGTCTTCCTCCTGGAAATTGACAAGGGGCATCTTGGGCAGAGCTGGCTCTGAGTGCCTCCATCCAAGGCCAGGTTCTCCGTTAGCTCCTGCGGCCCCGCCCTGGGCCCTGGGCTGGAATCAGGAATATTTTCCAAAGAGTGATAGTCTTTTGCTTTTGGCAAAACTGTACTTAATCCAATGGGTTTTTCCCTGTACAGTAGATTTTCCAAATGTAATAAACTTTAATATAAAGTAGACCTGTGAAGGCCACTGCCTTCGCTTCTTGCCTCTGTGCTGTGTGTGACGTGACCGGACTTTTCTGCAAATACCAACATGTTGGGAAACTTGGCTCAAATCTCTGTGCCTTTGTCTTTCCTATGGGGAGGGATTCTGGTTCCAGGGTCCCTCTGTGTATTTACTTTTTTGTTTTGGCTGAAATTCTTCTGGAGGTCGGTAGGTTCAGCCAAGGTTTTATAAGGCTGATGTCAATTTCTGTGTTGCCAAGCTCCAAGCCCCATCTTCTAAATGGCAAAGGAAGGTGGATGGCCCCAGCACAGCTTGACCTGAGGCTGTGGTCCCGGCGGACGTGTGGAGCCGAGGCCTGCCCCGCAGACATCTAGGACGTCCTCCTCCCACCTGGTTGCAGAGGCCAGAGGCCCCCAGCCCAGGGCTCCTGCACTTGCTTATTTGACAACATTTCAGTGGCTCTGTTGGCCACTCTGAAAGGTGGGCCAGTCTGTGTATCAGAGATGCACCGCCAAGCTAAGGGTACCTGTGCCCAGTATTCGATACTGCGACTTTCTGCCTGGAGTGTATGACTGCACATGACTCGGGGGTGGGGAAAGGGGCCAGCTGATCATGTTCGTCTGCTGGTCCGTGGGACGGTGCCCAAGCCAGAGGCTGGGTCCATTTGTGTAACAGCAATAAACGGTACTTCTCATTTCGGGCAACAGCTGCTGTGGTGGTGGTTGAGTCTCTTGGCCTGGCGATGTCCTGCCGTGTCACTTACTAGGGGTGGGAGCCTGGTTCTAGGCAATGCTCTGGCTTGGTACAGAACAGCAGAATTGATGCTGGTCCCTCCTGTCGCAGAAGACAGAGTCCATCTCTGCCCTCCTTCCCCAAACCCCTGTGCAGGCATTCAGTATCTCGCCTGCCTTCTCCTGGGGCTCTCGGTCCTCCTCCTGCCCAGCACTCCTTGTTCCTTAAGGCTCCAACTGGATCATTTCCTTCCTCAAGGACATGATGGGCTCCCTACTGATTCTCAAAGTTTGCTATTGATTGTTTGCTCATTGTGATTTCTGTACACTTACTAGCAACAGTCTTAAGTGCCAGAGGTCTGAACAAATCATGTGCAGAGTAGGGAAAAACGACAGTGAAAGACCTGGACGTTGAGGCAGCACAGTGCACTGCAGGGGTCCTCAGTGTCCTAGAGCATCTATTATAGCTGGCTTCCCAGTCTTGTCCAGGCTGCTGGTCCACTCTGTCCCTGGTGCAGGTCAGCCCCTGACCCTAGACTCCAGGCAGGGCCTGGGCCGTGCAGAGCGGGAGGGACCATTTCTTCCCCGCCCCTGCACCTGCTGATGGAGCAGAGACCACCGGCTCCAAGTGGCTTTGCAGGATGGAGAATTCTATTCTTCCCTGACACATTGTGTTCCAAAGGGTTTGGAGGCTGAGATAAAGTTCCCTAGGTCATTTATTCATTCAACAAACACTGAAAACACCAGTGCCTGTTTCCTGCCAGTTCCTGGACTGGACAAGGAGGGTCGAGTTGTAGAACTGGCTATCAGATAGTAATACTTTTATTAATAATGTATTTATAACCCTCCACATGGGACCTGCAAGTTTCCAAGACCCCAGCTCCCTGGGCTGCCTGTCCCCATATATCCAAATCAATTAAACTGCACCCCATCCCACCTCTTGGCCCTGCTCGTTCTTAATGCCCTCTCTCAATTCTGCGCTTCCATTCTGAGTCCCCCACCCCAGGGCACCCCCAGGACAGGGATGTGCCATCAAACAGACTTCGCCGCATATTTGAGAAGAACAGTAAAAAAGGTGGAGGTGTTTAAATGTCGTCTTTGGGCACCCCTTCCTCAAGCAATGACTGCCCACCTCCCCTTGGGCCTCAGCTTGCTGTCCTGTGTCGCAAAGCCTATATCCATCTCTTCACTTTCCCACTTGCCCTGCCTGGGAGGGGAGCAGTGGGCACTATTTCCTTTTTCCGTCCCCTTTACATCATGCCCACGGTCTGGCCTGGGTGTGGGGACAGCATGTGTGTACATTGCATGCACGACTCACTGCATCTCCTACTAAGACCTCTGCCAAGTTATTTTCTAAACGTATGAGCCATCTTCTCTCAGATTGTGCCGCACTCTCAATGTGCAGCCAGCTTCTGTTTTAAATAGCATTTTTTGCCTCGCTTGCCTCGGGGTTGTGCTTGGGATATGTTTTCATAGCCCGAATAAAGACCCTGCCTTCTATTCTGCTCTCTGCTCTCAGGGAGGTTGTGGCCAGAGGGAGCAGACAAATGACAGAGTGGTATCAATGACAGAGAACTGTGTGGGCTGTGCGGCAACACGGCACCTAAGCTGCGCAGTGTCTGGGTCATGGAGGTGCCGGAGGGTGGTCGATCTGGGTCTGGAAGGACAAATTCAAGTCAGTCTCTCATGCGGGGAAGGGATGTCAGTGGAGGATGTGAAGTGCCAGCAGGTGCAGGAGGGAGGGGCTGAAATGCGGAGCGGCAGGGCTGCCCACAAGGGAGAGGGTGCCTCTGAGGGACTGCAGAAAAGACGAAGATGCAGAGGGCTGGGGTTCTGAGGCCTGACCACGGAGCAGAGGTGAGGGTTGATGACTGTGTAGGATGGGTGGGGAGGAGGGGCTGGTAAGAGGCAGAACTAGCAGCACCTGGGCGGCATGCCCCTGCCTCACCTTGCTCTCCTACAGGGGAGCCTGGGGATGAGACTGTACTCTGGGTGGGCCATCTATGGCGGAAGGGACAGTAGTCCCAGAGTTGGGCCTTGAGGTGGGCCATCTCAGGCTCCCTCCCAGGTCAGGCACTGCTGGTGCACGGGCGCCCTACAGCATCTGGGAGAAAGGGTTTTTTAAATGGGTCTGCAGGTACCGACCGCACAGAGGAGCCCCGGGACCAGGACCATGCTCCCTCTGCTGAGGCGCCCTCTCCCTCACCCCTATCACCCTCATCCTCTGCCCCTTCTCTCCAGCCTGGCAGAAGAGAAAGGAGGCTGGGCTGCCTCAGGAGGTGGTGAGCCCCGGCACCTGGAGCTGAATGAGTGAGGAGCCTAGAGGGGCTTAGAAACTGCTTTGGGCCCACAGGCCCTAAAGCTGTTGGAGCTGGAGGCTCCCATTCTGCAGACTCTGCCTGGTCATGGGACCAGCCCTCACCTGGCTTTCTCCCTTCCTCCCACCCCCAACACCACTGCGCCTCCCCAGTACATTAGTCACGCCCACTCGTGGCGTGCACATGTGCAAGGATGGATTTGCCCCAGTGCAGGTCCTCGGCAGGTCCGCCCCACACCTGCTCTCCTTCAAGGCTGGGGGAGGCACTTGAGTCCGTTGTGTTCTCATAACTTCAGGTCATGCCTCTCGGGCACCTCCTGCCACATGACAGCAGGTATCTGTCTGGCTTCCTGCCACCCTGGGTGCTCCTGGAGGGCAGATGTTTCCTTGTGCAGTCTGGCAGGAGGCATGGTATTCAGGGGCTCACTGCAAGTAGGAGGACTCTGCTTTTGGGGTGCTCATTGAGGCTGGCTAGTACTGCTACCCTGCTCTGGAAGTCAAGCAACATTTAGAAGATTTTTAACAGTGCAAGTCACCACTACACACACCTCCCACCACCAGAACGGCTGCATTTAGGGATGGGCAACGTCGTGTTGTGGGGAGATGTCCCTAGGCTGTTGGAGGGAGTGAGAATTGATAGGAGCTCTTTGGAAACTTACTTGGAAATACCTACTAACACTAAACATATACCTACGCTATGATCCAAGGAGAATGAGAGCATATATCTGCTGAATGGTGTGTATAAGAATGCATGTAACAGCTTTATTCATCAGAGCTCAAACACAGAAACTGCCCAAATGTCCTTCGCCGTGAGAATAGGTAAATGAATTGTGGTGTGGTATATTCACACAGTGAAACAGTACTCAGCAACAAAAAAGGACGAGCTACGGACACAGGTATAACAGAGATGAACATCATGGGCATATATATGAAGCACAAGAAGCCAGACACGACGAAGCCAACATTGCATGATTCCATTTGTAGGAAGTTCAGGAATAGGCAAAACTAATTGACGATAATAGAAAGCCAGTGGGTTCCTCGGGCTGAGGGTGTGATATTGACGAGGCATGGACACAAAAAACCTGGGATGTGGAAATGTTCTCTGGATTGATGTGGGTGGTGATTAGAAGGGTGAACATATATGTAAATAAATCATCAAGCTATGCACTTAGATGGGTGCACACTGTGTATGTTATTCCTCAATAAGAAAGTTAAAGGGAAGAAAAATGCTTATAAAAGGGCTTCTGAGTTTCTAATTAGTTCCTTCAAATCTCACTGCAGCTTTTTCAGCAAAAACGAGGGAGGCCCACATGGTGTACGTTTTCTTCAGAATCCCAGAGGATTCTGATTTATGGGCAGAGAGGCCCAGGGCAAAAGCCTCTCACAGCTGTGTGCTGAGCAGAGCAAGTAAGTGGCGGCTTCCCTGAGCCTGATGGGGAAGGCGGGGCAGGCCCTCTCCAGACAGCGGGAGGGTGGGCACTGCCTGGAGGGCGGCCCTCGGGACCCCTTCCCCCAGCTCCAGCCAGGCCCCAGCTTCCTCTGGTTCCTGGAACCTGCCCTACCCAGCCGGTGTTTCCAGCACTTAGGGCTGGGAGCTAAGCTGTTCTTCCACTCCAGGAAAATATTTGTTCAGGGACTTGGCACCCGAATAAGAGGAAATAAAAGCCACCTTGGAGTCGAGCGGGCGGCTCTGCTGCCGGCGGCTGTGTCTGCCCCTCCAGGTTGCCTCTGCAGGTGCCCAGGCCCGGCGTCTGGGGCCTGGCCAGGAACCCCACCCCACAAACAGGCCTGCTTAGGGATAAGCCTGGGGTGCCACTATTTATTCATTCATTCAGTCAGTCATCTGTCAGTGCCGTCCACAAATGTTTATGAAACCTATTATGTGCCAGGCACAGTGCTGGGCCCTGGACATTGTCAGTGACCCAGGCCCCATCCTTACCTTCAAGGCTGTTGCAAGGTAGTGAGGGAGGCTGGCAGCATAGCAGGAGCATTGAGGGTATGGAGGTGAGGCCAGGGGGAGCCACCAGGCAGGCCGATACCACCAAGCACTTGGCAGACACCTAGCGTCAAGCCAAAGGAAACGTAAGGTCAAATGAAGGGATGACCCAGAGGGGAAGGAGCATTCCAGGCAGATGGAACAGCATAGGCAAAGACCCAGAGGTAAGACAGCACAGAGCTTTGTGGTGTAGAGAGTTGAAGGGGTTGGCTGGGGTTGGTGCCGGGAGTTCAGCACAAGGAGGTTGGAGGTTATGCCGGAAGAACCTCCCTCCTGGGTGTAATGCTCAGGACCTTGGACTTTATCCCCAGAGCAGTGGAGGTTTTTATTTGTTTTGAAACATTTAAACACATTGATTTTGATTCTTTTTTAAATAGAGAAGTACAAAATGAAAATTAAGTTGACCTCAAATCTCACCACCTAGATATTTCCCGATGACCTTTAAAAAATTAAAATATGCATGTGCACATGATTAGAAATCCAAGCAGAACAGAAAAGTCCAAAATGAAAAGTGAAATCCTCCTTCTCCCCACCTGTCTCTTGCCAAAGGCAATTTCATTTAATAGGTTTTGGGTTGCTGTTTCCAGAAACTTTTTCCGTGCACATACCTGTGAGGATAAGTCTATACTTTTAAAAAGTTACACCAAAGGGATGGGCCTA